GTCCTCTTCCGACACACAACCTTGGTTGACTACTCCTTGGAATTAGCAATTATATTTTTTCTATCACCTCATGTTATGTACTACTCAGGGCACACTGCAAAGTCTCTGCTTGAGAACTAGATTGAGAAATACAGAGAAAGATCATGAATGAAATGATCTGATGGCCTCAGTGTTAGTTTGTCATAGCTGGTTTAATGTACCTCAGATAGGCTCTGGTCATCAGCTGTGTGAGGTGTCTTTGTGCCTTTGTTGGTATAGACTTCAGCATGAGAAGGGGAAGGCAGAAGTTGGAGATACAAGCTATGTTGCAGATATAAGCTAGTTGCAGAATAAGCTATGGTATCTTGAACATTTGGCCCAGTCCTTAGCCTAAATTGGCTATGAACTTTCCAGAGAGAATTGCAATGCAATTCTTTTGAACACTCATGTCATGAGAAGACAATGTAACCAATGTAAAATCCAATAGCTTTGCTCCCCAGGGTGCTGTTTAAAATTTTTATTTGATTTATATTTGTGTATGAGGCTGCTACCTCTCAGTTTTGCACTGAGATATCAAATGAATTTTCAGATCAGCTGAGGATTTCAGCTTTTCAATGGCCCTTGAGGTTTAAGTATTTGCAAAAACTCTTCCTGAAGTTCAACTAACCCTGAACCTGCAGTAAAAAAACCCCAAAAAACAGTAACAGAAGAAAGGTATTCAGGGTTGATGTAAAAAGAGTCTGTGGAGACAAAATTAATATTTAATTATCCTACTAACTACAAAGACCAACTGCAGTGCTGGTTGGAGAAAGTAGAAATCTGTTTGGATGTGTCACAGCAACACTGTTAATTTACACCTTTTATTGATTTAAAAGCAAAAGGTGGGCTCTTTAATTTCATCTGATGGAGCTGGAAGACAGATTGGACTTCAGTTGTTTGAAACATTTTTACCCATTTGAAGTCTAATTGACTAGAGTTGTAACTTCTACTGTCTATTGAGCAGTAATGGTGATTTATCTATGTAGGTGCTAATTCGCTATAAGGAAAGAAAGATTCCTAATACAAAAGGGAAAGTCAGTGACCCAGATAATAGGGTGTGGCCCTGCCACATTCTTTGCCCTATCTATGATCTGCACAGACTGAGAGTGCTGAATGCCTTCTCACATTTTTAAAAAAATCACCCTGTTGAAATAGAGAAATGAAATACGAAATAGAGAAAATGTCCATTGCACACCATTTGGAATGCAGGTTACGTGTCCACTGACTCATGTTAATAAAAAGCAGCATCTTGAGGGATGGAGAAATTAAGATTGCAGGTCTTTTCAGCTTGTCTTTCTCAGATGGTCTTTCTTCCCTCACTGATCATAATGCAATGATATGGTGTGGACATTGACAATTAGAGCATTAAAGCATACAAAAAAAGGTATTTGTTTTATCCTGGAATTTGCTTTAATTTTCTTAATCACTTAAGACGTAAATTAAATATCTATTTACATTTGATGTGTACTACCATTGTCAGTGAATTTAAAGCTATGGCAGAAATTTGGAGCCTGAATTTTAGAATTGCATGTTATTTGCAAGTTTGGGTCATATGAATGAAAGCAGAAAGTACTTAGTACTTCTGAATTTAAAACTTTTTTTTTTCTTTCCATGCAAACATTGATAACTTGACATCCTTCAGGCATCTGTATGTATGTGTGTACAAATATATTTGCTTGTATATAATAAATACATACATCTACAGTCTGCCCAGAATTTTTACTATGTTAATTTTTTGGGTGTAGTACCTAATGTAACAAAGTGGTGGTATTCTGTCCAATTAACTGATTATTTCTTGATATTTTCCAACTTGTTTTCTTTCTTTACTTTTCTTTTTTCCTTTTTGAGTCTTTTTGTTTGGTTGGTTGGTTTTGTTTTGATTTTTGTTGTGGTTTTTTTTGGGTTTTTTGTTTGGTTTTTGTTTGGGTTTTGTTTGTTTCTTTTAGTCTTTCTTCCTTTATGGGAGCAAGGTTACAAGGATCATGTTGAGAATGTTGATTGTTTTGTAGCTCTCATGTATGAAAATATAAACAAAAAGCTATTGCTTGATTGGATCTCCTAAATTGTTTGGCAAAACTTGTTGAGATAAAGGGGTGGCTTTAGATTGTTTTCGTGTTTCTGAAGGGTGACAACAAATTCTTTAGTTGACATATTTTGACTTGGCAGCTAGGGTGCTAAATGTGCAGCAGATGCTGGAGGAGGATGGCACCAGGCTGGCAACAGAGCTGTTCCAGCCCCACAGCAGGCTTCTGCCCTTATGACATTACTCTCTCAAGCAGCCAACAGGGCTTGGAAGCTCCCCTGTAAATGGGAGCTCACTGCCAGTGAACCTGATGCATTCCAGATGTACACAAATTCAAAGACTCAGAAAGCTGCTCTTTTAAAATAGGACTTACAGCATCGTCTTATGGGGCTTACAGGCTTTCAGAGGGCAAACTGAATTCACCTGCCAGCCTAAAATCAGTGAGATTTTTTTGCGTTTCTTAGTGTGTGAATTATTAGTGTGTACAGGAGCATCAACAGAGTGCTTTTAAAAGTGGGTTTTCTTTCTCTGTTGAGATAAATGTCTCAAGATAATTTTTATATGATAGACTTTGAACAACAGAGTGGTAGCTTTAGAAAAGAATGACAAAATCCACTGGTATTAATTTTTTAATTACTTTTTGTGAGGTCAGTTTTAAGTATGATTTTATTTGAGAATTTTTAGTTATTCGTTAGGAAGGACAATATTCTCAATTGTCTTCATTTTATGTTAAATATCAAACTTCTGCTACTACCAATTCAGAGAACATTCTGTAGCATACATTGCATTTAATATCAACTCTACATAAGATAAAGAGCTTGCAATGTTCCTTTGCTTACTGAAGCAATACTTCCAGATTCTGCTAATGAGTATAACAGATGATGATTAAGTTTTGAAGTGATTGCAAGAAGTGAGATTATAAAGTTCGTGAGAAATAATTCACAGTATTAAATGGTTGGGATTTTTTTTTTTTGTTTACAATCATGCACTTTTGATTATTAGAAAATCCCAGCAGATTGTTTAGCATCTTCATAATTTGTTTATTTGTCAACAGTAAGTGTTGAAATTGGTGCCAAAAGGTTAAATGCTTTCAAGTATTCCCATATTGATGAGCTATTAATTTGGTACATAAAGGGCAACAACTCAGTTTTGCAGTCAATCCTGTACTACATATACTATTGCAAATCTTTATTTGCACTGATAATTGGTTATGAGAATAAACAAATATTTTGAAAGTAAAATGTCCATTTATCAATAGGATTGGTCAGTGTCTGCAGTTGATTTTAAGTGTGAGAAAGCAGATGCATTTCCTGGATGCTTCTATCTTCCTCATAATAAGCTGTCATTGAACTGTAAGCCATAATTTTGGACTTGATAAATGAAGATGATCATAAATGAAATAAATAAAAGAAACAAATATTGCATACATTACACAGTGAAGTTACACTCACAATCCACAGCAATCAGCTTAAAACCTGAGTCTAGATAATATTCTTTCGAACTTCTCATTCACTAGAGCCCTGATTTGGTATGTATCATCAGGAACCTATATTTTGAAACTTCTTGATAAACACAGGCAGATGGAGTCCAGCAAGTTCTGCCTTTGGACATCTAATACATTTTTGATTCGCAGAAGATGCTGAACAGTTTATAAGCAATGCATTTCCAGAAACTCCACTTTTATGCAAATGTCCTGGCTGCACTAACATGAAGAAGGCTGTCAGAGGATGACTGGTAACAACAGAGGGTCAGGCTGCCTTTAAACACAGCTCTTGGCCTACACACCAGACATCTTCAGAGAACTGCTGATAGGCAGAAGTGTGCTGTGTGCCAACGTGTATGTCACTGGAACAGCTGTTCCTTTATAGAGATTGGGTGAATGAAAAGTGGTTCCTTCTTACTTTTGGCCTAGCAGTACTCTAGAGGAAATGATTGTGAGCATCTCCCCGCCTTGTTCCCTGGAGTTCTTTGTCCATTTCTGACTAGCTACTCTGTGTTTTCTCTGTGGCACTTCCTCTGTTTCTTCAGGATGTATGAATGGTTCTAGAGTCCAGTTATGATAAATACCAAATTTAATATTTGTGGGTTTTTGCTGATTTTTAAATGAATACCTGGTATATTTCATATTATCTTTTACTGTTACTTCTAAGACCTGCAGATCTGTGCATTGATACTATATATTCTTGTGATTTATCTTTAGCCTTTATTCCTACTTGTTAGCTCATTTTCTGAACAGCCTAGAAGGATTAAATACCAAATAATAAATGTGTGTGCATGAATATCTATATTTACCTCTATGTGTGCATGTCTGTGTTTGTATGTAATCTGTGCTGTCATATTGCAACAGTGTGTTGATTCATGATATATAGCTGTTACCCTTGATATTCCAGTTACAGAAGATGACTCCACCATGTTAGGTCCAGCATAAACATCTAAAGAAAGATTAGTCACATTCAGTGGTAATTTGTTGCAATTTCCACACATTTTTTTCATTTACATCAGTTTCTGGATTTTATTTGAGCCTGGTTTAGATTTTCTTCTATCCATAGTATAACTCTAAGAAGACTTTTCAGAGAGTTGCTGGAATAAGTCTGAATTATTGAGAGACAAACTGAAATAGCTTGTGTATTTGAATGTAGGCATAATATCTTGCATTTGTTGCATTTTCCCTGCACAATTACTTTACAGTTTTCAACTAATTTATTATCACACAAGGTAGGCCATGTGAAATAATTTCATGTGGGAATCATGGGGTTTTCCTACATATAGGAAAATACAGTGTCAGAACCCTGAATCAGGAGCTGTTCATTCCTAGTATGGCCTTCTGTGCTATGCAGTGCAGCACATTCCTGAACTTCTGACTGCTGAGCTTTTAAACAGTTGACACTTCTGTAGCAGAAGAAAACATCAGAGGGTGAAAGTTTGCCAGTTATACTAATGTAACTATTTCTGCCTACAGTGTTCATGACAGAACAGCCTACCTGGCGCTGGGAGCAGTGAGAAACATCTCACTTAACATTTTCGTCTCCAACACTGGTGATGATGCCTATGACACCAATGTTTTCTTCAATTTTTCTGGAGAGCTCTTCTTCATCAAAATGTGGCAAAAGGTAAGAAAGGCTAATCTCACTGCAAGCAAGTCTCTTAACTTTAAGCCAATTTAATTACAAATTAAGGATGGACTAGGGGATGGCCTAGTCCACACCGCTTGAGACATTTGGAAGTTGGTTTTGGTTATGCTAATCTTTAATTCCTTTCAGGCTCTTTAATGAGATTTTTTTTCTTTTATGGATTGGCAGTGTATAGATTACACCTTCTGTATTTCTGTAGAAGACACATGCCTGTTATTTGTGGTGCACTAATGAAAAAGGAAAACTGTTTGTTTGAGGTATTAACAGGTAGAAGGAGGCTGGTTGGAAACTGCTAAGATACCAAATGGTACTGAAATACAAAGTGTAGCTTTTGTTTGAGTGGTGCCTTACTGCACCCAGCAGTCCTGGTTATCTCTTGACCTGGGTTTCTAGACTTTCTCCGTGTTGAAATCAAGATACAAGGCTTGTTCTTTGCTCATATCCTGGTATAACTTTGGGTTGTGGCTGGGGAACATCACTAGATCTAAGAGGTCAAGAGTGCTTTTAATTTCATCCACATGGAGTCAGGTGAATATTCTGAGTTTTAGTCTCTTTTCATTTAGATAGAAATATTTGGATGTTTTCATTACCAGGAGTTCATTTAGAAATAAAGGTGTTGTAATGAATCAAGCTTTTTGCAAACTGATGGCTGTGAAAGCTTTTTGGGTGTGAGTGATGTGACAATAACTGCGCAAAATGGGAGATGTATGATTGTGATGACATTCTTTGTTTGTTCCTGCTTTTCACCATTGTTTGTCTCTCCTCTAGAGCTTTGCTTTGCAGGCCATAAGAGCAATATTAATAACAGTAATACAACTATTGCAAAGTTCAAGATTAACTTGGTCCACTGAACCAATGAAATTTTGCCATTGTTTGTCATGTTTTATGATAGGTTTAAATTATTATAAACCTCTTAAATAAACTCACTGCATAATAAAAAACCATTATTTTTTATGCATGTTAATTCTCTTAGTGTTCAGTTTTGACTGAACTGTTGCAAGCCTCAGTGAGTTGTCTTTTTATTATGAACTTTATTTTCAGACATTATGTGCTACAAGTGTACAATTTATTAGGAGGGAAAAGGCAGGGCAGGGGATAAATCAGAAATGTGTATGCCAATGTACAACTTCTCCATAGTGAAAGTTTTATGGCAAGACTTTCAAGGTCTGGCCCAGCTCTCACTGACATCAATGAGAGGGTTTCCATTCCTTTCCACTAGAAAAGAAACAAAGCTTGATGCCTATTTTTTTAAAAGATTGTTGTCATCCTTTTTCTTTTTTGCATATTTTACACATACCAAGTAACTGGAACATCAATTCCCTTCATCATTTCCCTTGGCCAGCACTTTCACTTCTTTCAGTGTGGAAAGAAGCTGATGTATTTTTTCCGGTGATATTTTACCTTCAGCTTAGGTCTATAGAAGACTTGAAAACATCTGTGCTGAGTGCTGCACAGAAGGAGCAGTTTCTGGAAGCAGCTAATATTCTAGTATTATGTCACTACTCAGTGTATTTTCTTCTAAGTCAGTATTTCTTTTAAAAAAGTACTGCATACAGCTTCCTCAGGTCTTGCAAACAGCATCAAAGTATAGTCTGCTATCATTCCTGCTGTTCCAATGTTCTTATGATTAATTTCATTGGGTTTGAGGTTTCTTCTGATATTTATTTCATTATTTCAGTAACAGTTTTGGAAAACCAAGTTACAGGATTTTGTTAGGCTGTTTTCATTTGTGTTGTTCAGCTTTTCCTTTTGGTCAAAATAATATATCACTGGCCTCATCATTTTTTCAGGTAAGAAACTGGATAATGACCTCATAGCCACAATTATAGTGTTATATTTTCCCTGAGCTCTTTGACAATGTGGGTTTTTTTTGGGTAAAATATCAGTTTCCATGTCTCCAACCTACTCCCATCATTTGACATCTATGCATATTTTGTTCCTTGTTGACTATTGTCCAAGCAAAAATCCAGAACATAAAGCCAGAATAAAAAAAGACAGCAGTTAGAGTTTTTCCTTAGTGGAGCAATTTTGGAATCAAAAGAGCTTTGTGTGGTGGGACACACTGAGTATCATCTGCCTTTTAATGAATAGTGCTGAACTGAAATTGAATGAGATCTTTCATATGGTTGCTAGATTGTTTGTCTGCAAGGTGACTCTGAGAATGATGATCATGTAGTAGGCTTTTTTAACCTGTCTCTGGAGTCTGTTCAAGATGCTGTAAGTTCCCTGTGTTTTTTTCCTGTGACTTCACTGGGGACATTAGTAGTAAATCCAGTGCAGTTTTGTTTCTTTCTGTGGATTGGTTACAATGAGACCTGACAGTGCAAAAGATTAATGCTGCTATTTTTTCAACAGAGTTCCTGAGACAAAATGCCATATCTTGTGTTTGAAAACATGATGATGGTACTGTTCCCTGAAGAGTCTGAGTAAGCTAGCCTCTCTTCCCTTCCTGAAGATTGAGATTTCATGATACTTTAGGTATATTTATATTTACTATAAGTAAATAGAGACACCACCTAAAAATCAGTTGTCCACTGGAATAATTTCACCAGGGAAGCAGTGGATTCCCCAGTGCTTGACACTTTTAAGATTCAGCTGGACAGGGCACTGGGCCATCTTGTTTAAACTGTGCTTTTTCCCAGGAAAGGTTGGACCAGATGGTCTTTGAGGTCCCTTACAACCTGATATTCCAGGCTTTGCTGTATCTCTGCAAGTTGAAAAAGCATTTGCTGATTGATATTTAGGAGACTCCATCTATTCCCCTATCTGATTTTTTCCTCTTATGCTGCAGCTAGTCCTCTCCATTTCATGGATGAAACCCAGCCTTTTCTTTATATCGCTCCTGACAGACAGTTCTCTGAAGAGGCCCAGTATGTCGCATGGGCTGACTTCTCATTCTTCTGTGGTCCTATGGATATAATTCCTGTGCAACATTTTAAGACCTCACTCTATGAGATAGGGTTTTTTTACAGGTGCATAAAGTACAGCACCAAAGTAAATTTCAAAATGTGTCCACTGAGAAAAACATTACTTTTGAAATATGTGTTCTTTAAAAAAAAAATAGAGAGCAAGAAAGACACTTCACCTGCATGCTTAGATTTTTTCTTGACTGTGTTGGCAAAGAAATCTTGGTCCCCTCTTCTCTGTAGAGTAGATTTTAAAATACTTTTTTTTTAATCTGAAAATTTATTGTTCCTTGATTTTAATTCAGCTTTAGGAAAGCATTCTATTTCACAGTCCAAAAAGTCCACTTAATAGAGCTGATACAACTTCCATATCAAAGAATGCAGTGTTGCAGTGTGGTGAGTCTGGAAAAAGAATTCAAAGCTACTGCTACCCATTTCTGCACCATTTTAGTTTTACTGGAATTACCTCCTGGCTTGTGTTGTTTTGCTGAAGATGTATGTCAGCAATAGGCACTTTGCTAACCACTGTTTACTGCTGCTCAGTGTAGATGGATATTTTCAGTACAGTTGCAGAAATAGCATTGTAAGCTTGCTGGCAGTGGTAGTAAATGTGTAGGGCAGAGCCATGTCTTTATTAAATGAGCTCAGTTATGGCATGAGATTTCATAGCAATAATATAAATCCAGCATATTTACCATAGTAACAGTAAAAGAATGATAATGTATAGCATTAATCTCTCCCTGTTCTGCAAGGTCTGATAGGAATCTCTCAGCTAACCCAGCACTGGTTTTGGAGAGAGCAGGTCAGGAGATTCCATTGCTGAACGTCATTCCCTGATGTAGATTGTTCCTACATTTCAGACAGGCTTCCAGTATCCAAAACCAGCTGTGTGTAACATTTCTGATGCTTCTCACAACAGCTTTTTCCAAGCAACAGGTGAGTGAAGTTGGCAGGGCTAGACCAGGGCAGGGTTAACAGTGAGTTTATAGTTTCTTTGGATGCAGTAGTTCCCCATGATTCCTTTGTGAGCATGTACCTGAAACACTGGTGTGGAGTATGAATATTGCTGATAACCATAGTCACGCTGCTTATGGGCTCTGGGGTTTTACTTCTGATGAATAATGCAATACTCTCTATGTTACCAGGGAGGTCATGCAATTTGGATAAGAACTCAGTCTTCTTCCTCACTCCCAGAGCTCTTGCTGGCATCCTTGCCAGCAAGAGGGCTGCAGATGAAGGCAGGGTTTAACTTTTTCCAAACTGGAATTCTCTTGCACCAGATTCCCCACACTGATCAAACTTAGTCCCAGAGTCTTAAGTCTGGCATGGAGAAGATAGTACACAAAAAATAAAGATACATGCTCCCTTTTGGGCCACTGAAGTCTCTGTTTTTCTAGCAGTTGCTGCCCCTTTGGGTTGATGCCTAAAGTCATGGTTAGGTGATAAAATGCACCTAACTTTTTAAAGGATCCCCTCAAGTGCACAAGATACCAAAATGTGCTGAAAGTACACCCATGATATAAAGTGTGTACAGTTTTAAAAGTTCAGCAAATTAGCATAATTGACAAGAATTCCCAGTTAGAGACACAAGTGATGAGGTAATTCCCCCTTTAGTTCAACCCTCTTTTAAGGCCCCCCTTCCTCATTAGTTGTTTATGGGAAAGTGGTGCTCAACCTTGGTTCTTGGGAGAAGCAAAAACAGGATTGGGAACTAGGAATGTGTTTTGTCTTTCTGTCTAACAGAGCAGGTAAAATATTAGCTACAAATCTATTCAGTTATACAATAATAGGCTACAGAGCTACAAGTATATGTGAAGAATATATAAAAGCAAAAATCAGTTTGGCATCGGGATCCTCTGGCAAATGAGTTAACATGATCTGTCTCAATTCACATCCAACTTGTAGCAGACACCTGTTAAAGCTTGCTAGCAGAAATCTTTATTTTAATAAGTAAGTGTTCTGATTTAATCCAGCTGATTTTGCATGTAGTATGTTCAACTAGCTTCTGTAAACCGCTCTGACAGTGGATCAGAGGAGAGTGTTGCCAAGTAGTGTGGAAGCTCTGACTCCTTG